GCTCTGTGGGGAGAAGCACCCCCGGCCCCGCCCAGTCTCCTGCCCACCAGAACAATAAATCAGACCTAGCCATCCCGACTCGCAGCAAATCCCCGAGAGCAGAGCCCTCTGTAGGTTGTGTGACTTTCTGTACATGCCTCTGTCCCTTGCAAGGGTATTTTCTTTAAGAATACCTAAGAGAATACTTTTTTAAAGCCTAGGTCAGTAAGAATAACATATGGCTGTTTTAAAAACTCTTCTTGCCCAAACAAACCCATTTGCCAGTGAGATCTTTGACATCTAAGACTGGAGTTTGATTTAACTATCTCCCTAAGGAATCATTTTCCATTATCAAACCTTAGAGAAGGCTCAGGTACCTCACAGATCTGCTCCCCCAGACAACCAATGACAGGCTTCCCGTCACCATAGATTAACTTGCATTCTCTAGGATTTCTTGTAAATGGAAATCATATAATGTATGCTCTTTTTAAAAATTGGTCTGTCTTCTTTCACTCAGCATACTTATTATGAAATTCATTCATGCTGCCACATGTATCAATAGCCCATTTCTTTTTATTGCTGAGTAGTAGTCCATTATAACAGATAGACCACATTTGGTTTATCCATTCATCTGTTGATGGATATTTGGGTTGCTTCCAGCTTTTTGCTATAGCAAATAAAGCTGCTATGAACATTCAAGAGTGAGTCTTTGTATGGACCTATGCTTTCATCACACATTCTAGATACAAATCTTTTGTTGGATGTATGTTTTGCAAATATTTTCCCTGAGTGTGGTTTATCTTTCTATTTTCATAGCAGTGTCTTTTGAAGATCAAAGTTTTTAATTTTGATGATATCTAATTTGTTGATTTTCTCTTTATTTTGGCACTTATAGTTCATGTTTTTTGTGTGTTATTTAAGAAATCTCTGTCAAATCCAAAGTTATGATTCTTGTTTTCTTCTATAAGTTTTATAGTCTTGGATCATATATTTATAATCCATCTCAAGTTATTTTTTGTATAGTATGCTAAACAATCATTAGAATTTATATACACATGCATATGTATATATTTAAACTATGTATATATATATACACACATATATATGGTTTATAGAATCATTACAATACTCACTTATAAGTATTAACTGCAGAATTTTTATATAGGTACCACTTGATAATCAAGTTTTGACAAAAACAAACCAATGGAACATGCCTATTTCTTGTTTCTTTTTACTTTTCTATGTTTTCTGTAACAAGCATCATCTATCATTTTTAAAATCACAATATTGTAAAAAAAAAATCATTTAATAGAAGGCTTCTTAATTCTAAGCTGCTTTCACAATGCACTTTGGTGCATAAATGGCCCCTTTGGAGAACCTGAAAGGTGCACACACTACCAGGAATCCCCTTTTCCCAAGCTTAATAGCAGGAAGAGATGAAATAAAGAATTTCCAAAGAAAATTCTCCAAAGGGAATGTGAGTTTAGCTGAAGCCTCTAGAAGAAACCAAATACAAACCCAAACACAACCCTGATAAAGAAAGAGAATTCCAGCAGAGGGAGGGCTAGTTGCCCTCCTTGCTCCACCCCCGAAATTGCTTGCCCTGACTCTGCAGTCACAGACCTGTGTTTTAAACTGCCAGCTTCTCCACTCACTCAACCTCCACCAGCAAGGAAAGCTAATGAAATTCTCTCACTGATGTACTCCCCGTCCTTCTATCTCAATCTGCTTGCAAAGACAGCCTAAGTCTACAGCCTCATAATCAGCCCAAGGCTTGCCCAGCGGCCTCTCATGTGTGTGCACTCCTGCCTGTCTGGAGACAGGATTTGCCTCTTGAGCTGTAGCAGAGGCCAGATTGGCTGACGGAATTGCCTACAGATGTTTCACAGAGAGAAAGATTACTTCCCTGATTGATGAATATACAGAATTGTCAACATGGTCTCTATGGTCAGAGGGGGCCCCTGAAGTATAATGTGAAAAGACAGATGTTTCATCTGGGAAGGTGTCCAAGACCCTAAGAAGAGGTATGCATTTGGCTGATAAGGCGGGCCAAGTAATTCAGGCTCTGAGAGGGAGAGGAGGGAGGCTGGGCCCACAACCACAGCCAATACCATTGCAAGGCCTCCCCAGTTCACACCACCTCCCAAATCCTAAGAAGGGAGTGGCATGCCTCTTCAATCAGCCTCTTCTTTGGGCTGTTTTTCGAATGAACAGACAGACAATGTTATCAGAAATGCAGTCATCATCTTAGTCCTTACCTGCTGTGAGTCGCAAAAGGGGCAGCAGAAAGGACACTGGAATCCTCATGCTAAACCTCACAGTCTTCCTAATCAGACTGGGAGAGGAGCAAGGCACTTGGAGTGAGCTCCTTTTTTTCAGGAGCATCCAACTTTGGGGTTTTCTAGATGACCTTCCAGAATGAATCAGCCAATAATAACAACTATTATCATAACTGCTTTAGTAACTAGAAAACAGCTGTTATTATGTGACACCAGTTTATTTACTTTATATACCTTTATCTTACTGAACTCTCACAGAAATATATACACAATATACCCTATGAAAGGATTAGTAAAACTTACTACCCATAAATCCTCTCTGCAAGGATTACTAGGGGATGTATTCCAGCATATAGAAAAGAGGAATGGGGTAAATACTTTCATTAAACCCATTTTACAGATGTGAAAGCACAGATTCAGAAAGGTAAAGTAACTAGCCAAAGTCACATGGCTAGGAAGCAGCCAACCTCAGAATGAAGCCCAAATTGGTCTCATTCTCAAACCCATGCTTTAGCCACTGCAATTCTGTGGTCACCAGATGTGGGAGATGTGGGAGGTGAGGGCTACACTTTCAACACAGCAAAAATGTGCTGGTGCTTCCAACACAGAAACATGGCATGCCCAGGAAAACACTATTTACACCTGGATATGCCTGAATACTAATGAGATTGCTGCCTCTGCCTCAAACAGATTTGAGTTTAAAAGTAAAAATCTGTTATCTGGCACTTCCAGAAAGAGCTGTAATCTAGGAGGAAATAGGCAATGGACTTTCCACATTACACACACAGGCAACCACATGGCTGAACAACTCAGATCACAATTCCAAAGGGTATTTGGGTATTTGCTGCAAAAGAGGCCATGTCATCCCTCTTTCAGAGAAGGAAAAATACAAGTGTGGCAGGAGACTCAAGGATAGTTTTCTCAGAGTATGTATGCTTTGAAAGAAATTTCTAATATCAAAAAATTATTTTTTACATCCCATTCCACAGAGAACTTGATTTTCCTTGAGGGTGGGAATAGGGTCTCTTGTTTACCTCTCTGGCCTCAGTGCCTAACATAAACCTGGAACACAATAGGTACTTGGTGCCTTTCTGTTGAAGGACAATGAATGAGTGGCTAGGCCAGGACAGATCGAATGGAGAAGCCAACACATAGTAGTGATAAAAAACGTAAGCACTGGAGCTAGACAGCCCTGGTTTGAATCATGGCTGCACTCTCTAGATATACAAGCAAATCAGCAATGCCTCTCTCTGCCTCAGTTCTCTCATTTTTAGAGTGGAGACAAAAATAAGCACCAACTTGACAAACGGCTGGTAGAATTCAAGGATGCGGTGCTGAGCACAGTGCCGGCACATGCTAGGGTTCTGGGGTGAGACCTCTTTACTTCTAGGAAGAGCACTCCTGTCTGGGGAACAGCAAAGCAGATTAAACCAGATCGTAATACCTTGCATCCAGGTCTCACAGAGACAAGGGCTGACTACTTTTAGGTGATCATGGGGGACAGGTCTGCTGCTACAGGTACCACGTTCATAGAGGCAGAGGGGGTGGAGGCTCTGCTCTTGCTGTCACACCTGCTGGACCTTGTTTCAAAGGATGGAGCTCCTCAGCATGATCAGAGGAAACCAAGTAGGGGACTGAGGGAAAGTGAAACATTTTCTAAGAGGAGCAGTCAGAGACCAGCTTTGTGGAGACCGCAAGAACTAAGGGATGAGACAGGACACATTTGGATGGTTCCATGGCCAAATCAGAATGAATGAGCAAAAGTTATAGGGAGGGAGGCAGATCTCAGTGGGAGTCGAGTTTCAGCGAGGCTGCTCTCCTTGCCTCAGGTCATGGTGCAGCAGCAGGTATAGGCAGAGCAAGGTGCAGAATCTAGAACAGGGTGTTGTAACTCTGGCACCCCATCGTTACACTGCTCCATTGTCCAGGCAGTACTAGGAGTGGGGTGACATAGTCAATGAAATTGCTTTTCTCCCCCCACCACACCATCAGGCCCCACTCTAAAAAAGCCTGCCTTCTGTGTTTGTGTGTCTGGTTCTTTGAATATTTTTGCAGGACTAAAGGCAAAAGGAGCCTGAGATCAAAGGTTCTTTCTGTCATTTGTAAAAGCCTGAGCCCGCAGACTAGATAATGCTGGGCATGGGGGTGGGTAGAAGGCAAAAGCTCTAGGGACAATGGGAGAGACCTCCCCTGGGCTGGGGAAGAGAGCATACCAGATGCTGTCCCCCTGAGAAATGAACAAGGCAGGTTCTCAGAAGGAATGATGGTGTGCTGTCCTGAAGGACCCCAAACAAGGCCACCCAGCCAGGCAAAGACGCCCACATTCTATGTGTCTGCATGAACCAGTCAGTTCCTGGGCTCAAGAGACCTCAAAGGATTACTGTGGTGGGGATGTCAGTGGCAACCAGACTAAAGGTTCCGCCCCTGTTTTCTTAGCTACCAGCTTCCTGGATCCTGGGGTCATTCCGGGCAGAGGGGCAGTGCCAATAATGACCAAGAAAGGATTTTCTGTTCCTCTGCTCAGATAAGGGCTCGGAGTCAAATAAAGTTGATTTAAAGGAAATAGAGATATTGACATTCTTTGCAAATCTGTGTCTGAGAACCACAGCAGGAGTGCAGGCACCAAACATCACATCAAATGGCAGCACAAACACCTGCTCTCCCACTGCCCCCTGCCCCCCAGTCAGAGATGGGGCCCCCAGATCCACCAGCTGGAGAGCACCCCGCAGCCTCCGGCCTTACCTGGGGAGCAGGTGCTTGCGGCTGACACACAGAGCGGTCTGGTAGTCCTGGGTCACACACACCTTGTGAGGGCTGCACTTCACCTTCAGGCAGGGGTCTTTAGATGGGTCCAGGGCTGAGGCAAAAAAGAACAAAAACAGGGCGGTTAGGACCTCCAGGGAACGTTTAATTTCTATTTCTACTCAAATAGATGAGTGGGACGTAAACAGGCCGGGTGTCTGCTCTGTGCTGTTTTCTTAGGCTGGAGGAGACTGGAAGGAAAGCAACCCGGGGGACTCTGTGCCTACCGCACGTGTTTCTTCCCATCATGAAAGTGATATCTTTGTGCCACGGGGAGTCGCAGCATCTTCATCTTCGGCAGGAATTACTTTTAAAATCCTTTAAATCCTACATGCTCTAAGGACCAGGAGCTACTTTTCCCTCTCTGGTTATTTGTCTGCTATTGCCTTTTATGACTTCATCCGTGCCTAATTTTACCATTTCCTACAACATAAAAAGTCCTTGAGGATAGTTTTTTGTTTTTGCTTCTTTGGAGACTTCAGTTCAATCCACATGGACGCTGTGCATAAATAAGCCTATTTTAGGCTTTGTGAAGAACTTCCGGATGTACAAGACAGTTTGTGCCACACACAGTTACAGTGCCACAGGGAGGGGGAAGCGCCCAGAAAATATTCACTGTGCGAGGGAGAATGAGATTAAGGGCCATGGCGGGCACATAAAGGGATAACAGAGCGTGAGAGGAAACCAGAGGTCAATTTCTGGGGCAGGGTTAATGAAGCATTAATATGTGAATTGGATTTTGGAGGATGGGCAGGATTCTGAAACAGAGAGAAAAGGCACCCCAGGCCCGGCGCACAGGGCAGTGAAGGGAGGCGGGGCCCGGCACTCATGAGATACTCCATCTGACGGTGAGTGTGCTTTGTGCGTGTGAGTAATGAGGGGGCGCAAGTTGATTCAACCACGTCTCTGGAGAAAGGGTCTCCAAGGACAGCAGTTGCTACATGGCAACATTTCTTAGAAGAGGCAGAGCAGCAGGCCTCCGCTCATCAGCCCTCTACCTGCTGAGGTGGCCTTGCTCATCAACACAGAGGAGTGACCCCAGGGGGTTCTCTGCAAAACAAAAGCAATTGTGCCTCCTCCCAGTTCCAGGGCCTGAGCTCTGTGAGGCTGCAGATCTCTCATATCTGCTTTCCTTGGCCAGAGAGGTGAGGCCTCCCGTGTCCTCCCCACATAAACATCCAGTTAAACAAATGGGCATCCAGAACAGGGACAGCAAAACTGCCGTGAGAAATGCCCTCTTCCCCTCCACCAGATGGGCCCCTCACTCTCATGATCCCTCTGCACTCAAAGTCTTCATTCCTCTCAGCCTGCCCCGGTCCAGAATCTCAACACCATTTCCTTCAGATGGCTGTGGGGAGTTTCTCCAGGGACCTGAACAGACATCCAAAAGCATTTCTGCCGCTTGCACAGCTCAGGGCAGCACCCTCTGAGGCAGCAGTTTCGGTGCGGGAAACAGGTGCATTCTTAGGCCAGTCAGGTCAGCAACAAGACCAGGTCCTGGCCAGTCCCAGGGGAGTCACCTGGCAGAGCCTATTTCCCAAGGAATCTGCTAGAGATCAGCAGAAGGAAATGGGCTGCAAGATAAAAGCGGCTCACTGGAGCCCCAGGGACAGAGGGCTCACTCTGAGCTCCTGGGCTGAGGGCTGCCTCTTGCACTCTGGGTCTGCATTCAGAGGCCTCTGGGGCTGGGCCTTCCAGTGGAACTCTTTTGGTCCTGGGGATGTCCACACAAGAAGCCCGGATGCTGTGCGTCTCAGGCCAGCCCTGTCCCCACCCCAACCCCGGTGGCAGTCCCAACAACTCTGATTTACCTTCCAAGACTCATACAAACTTGAGCCAACAATGAAGACTGATTATCAGATGACAATTAATGATGACCACACTGTGTCTTTGCTGCCCCTCTCATACTTCTAGCCACCACCGGGTGCAGACAGACATGGATCTCAAGAAACTTGGAACCAGACCACTGGCATCCTGGTACCAGCTGAGGCGCTTCCCTGACCGGTGCCACAGAACCCTTGGGATTTTCACCAGAATGAGCTCAGAGATAGAGGCTAACAGGCTAGCCTAGAGTGATGGGTGCCCAAACCTGCAGCACTATATGACAAGCATTACGGCCCAATTCAAGCTTCTTTGGCCAACCTTTCTGTACCTCAGTTGCCTCTTCTGTTAAATGGGGTAACAGCAGTACCTACTATTGCTCTGGGTTGTCATGAGGATTAAATGGGTTAATACTAGTACGTGCTTAGCACAGACCTCTTAGGTGTTTGTGTATTGTGTGTGTCTGTCCTTGGTTCCCAGTGAATAACAAGCCTTCATAATAACAAGAACAACAGCTAACACTTACCTGTGCTGTGGAAATGCAGGCAGTGACCTAAGTCCTCTGGCTGGATTACCATGTTTCATTCCCACAACCACCCAAGGATGTGGCTGCTGCTAATATGCCCATTTTACAAATAAACATCTTAAAGAGAATCCCCTGGTTAGAGGTGAGAGGGTTTCTGACACCTGGTGGGTGACTCCAGAACCCACACTCCTTTCCATGGGAAGCCAGCAGCAGGAGAATCGCCTGGGAGCTGCTTTTAAAAGCCGATGTGGGCCCCACCTCAGAACAAATACAAACCAGATGCACCACGTTCCTGAGAGGCCTTCCAGTCAGGGTCAGGATGAGTCTTAAGGAGTAAGAGTAGGGGGCAGCCAGGGGGCCTGGTGCTGCCCCGGCTGAGCCACACAGGACTACCACAGGGTGCCACACACAGCCTCAGTACCCCCCAGAAGGTGGGGTACCCAGCCCTGGGCAAGTGCACCCTCTGCCTACTCCCTTTGAATGCAGCCACTCCTCAACTGACCCGTGGTCTGGTCCATTCTCTTTCTGCACCCTGGCCATCTGTCATCCTGTCTTCAGGCTAATACCATAGATTGCCCCCCCTCCAATGCCTGACGCTAACATTATTAAACCAAACAAAAACCTCCAACCAAAATCACTAAACAAAAATCATCACTTATTTAACTCCCGACGCATACTTCCTTAATGATTTGCATATAAAAATCAAGTCGGCTGAAAATTAATTACTGGGGACTGAATGCTTCAAGGACGTATGTGAATTATTTCAATGAACGTCACAAAATAACAGAACAGTAACAAATCAAGCTGCCAGCATTTATGTAATCACTAGGATTCCTCTTGTTTTTGAAAAGCAGCAGCACTGGAATTGAAAGCAGTGCATCGGTTCCATTTAAACGCCGCCTCAACAAGTTTTTCCCTAGCAGTTCCAAGGCGCAGGTGACACTCCTGAGAGGGGACACTTTTGAAAGGTGCCCAGCACCTGTTTTGGACAGGATCCCTGTAGCTCCACTTTCTAAAGGGAATGATAAGACATCAGAACAGTAAGTGGCATTTACGAGGCTCTTTAACAAGGTACAGAGTAAACAGGGAAACCGTGCAGGTGAGGAGGGAAGGGCAGAGAGCAAGCTGAGCGTTACTGACAACCCTGGCCAGAGCTAGAAGCTTCTTGTCGAGGTGGTGCTAACGATTTCTGGAGACTGTGCTCCCCAGTTTTTCTCTCCCAGCACATGCCTGGTGTTAGGATGCAGCCATCCCCACAAGACAGCAAAGCCCTGTGTCCCCTGTGCCTCGTCTGTCACAGTAACCTGTAGAATTAAACAGGATGGTGAGCCTGGCACAGGGCAGATACCCACAGGAGGCTAACGGCATCTTTCCTACACGTGACCAAGTGTCAACTGGCACATGTACATGTCCAATTAACTTTTAAATAATTTTTACAAAAACTTTTTTCAAAGAAAAAAAAACAAGAATGAATTAATTTAAAGAGAGATTTGTTGAGCTGGAAAACATTGAATTCAAAAGCCAATTAATTTCAGGTTACGTGTAATTTTTTAAATTAATTTTTTAAGCTCACTGCTTGATCTCAATTAAGGTACCGTAGTGATATTTTAATTACCTTAATTGTTTCCGAACTTGTTTTCAGTTCAAGTTCTTTTTTAATTAGCTACGCTGCTTTTAAAATCCTGACTCAAGCCTTTTCGCTGTCCTTGGGCACATCCTCCCAGCTCACAGGCGAAGGGTCGTAACAGCTGCAGCAGCAGAGCGGCACCGCCTCAGAGATGCTGAGAGGAGACGGTGTCCCACTGTGTGGCTTGCCCAGAGGGTCCCTGAGAGTCCCCTGGGGGAGTGACACATGCTTCTGTTTATTCCCTTAATATTTGTAGAGCATCCGTCCTGTGCAGGCCCGTTATTGAAGGTGGGGGGCCAGCACCTCTAGAGTGAACGAGATGTCATTCCTGCCCTCTGGGAGCGCACAGCTCAAGACAGAGACAGGCAATGAGAGGGTGAGCTCCCTATGTTTTGGGGGTAAGGGGGGTACCTCATCCAGCCTTCCCAAGATCAGGTGAGACTTCCCGGAGAGATTGACATCTGTGGAAAAGTGGGTTTGAACCCCTTTCATAGATTGAGGAAGAACCTTCCAGATAAAAAGAAGCTCCCCTTCCAGATGTAAGAGAAACCAGAGCAAATGTGGGACCTGCAGCGCTGCTTCAGGCCGAAGCCAGGTGGTGAGAGAAGACCAGAGAGGGTAGCACAGCATCACAGAGGGCCTTAAACCACAGGGAGGACTCTGGGGCCATGGCTCCCAAGCCCCACAGTGACGGCACCCTCCCCTGCTGGTTGTCTGCGGGCATCTGCTCTGTGGCAGGAGGGGTAGGAAGAGACAAGCCTTACACACATTCTAGGTGAAAAGTGGCACTTGTAAGAACAGGCATGCGGTGACCCTCACCCTCCAAATCAGAGGGGCTCAGGGTGGAGGTCCAGGGCTCAGCTCAGGGCCCCCTTTCCTCCTCTGAGAAACCTCCACACTCCCTCTCCCTGGGGACATTAAGCTGCACACAATTCTGGGAGGCAACATGCCTACCTGGTAAGGCTGATAAGCCAAGACTTAGCCTAAAACAGCCGTGTCAACTTGTGGTCCACTCTGGGGACTCCTGGAAACTTCCTCAGACAAAAGGCCATTCGATTTACAAAAAGATGACAAATTAATG